ACGTTTTCATCAACGTGTCTATATTTTTATGCCACCTCTTATCAGTTTTATTAAGACCAGAGCTCTATTATCAATTTCTAATTATGACCTGTGAACTTAGGTTTGATGGATTTTCTTGGTGCATATTTATGGAAAAATGGATCAAGTTGTCTATAAAATATGCACTGGAGGCAGGATCATGTTAAGCCACCATTCATTTTGTTGAATCCTACTTCATTAACAAAAATCATGAAAGTAATGTTAATTGTATATTCCTTATCCTCTGACTATTTCTAAATTAGTCCATAAAATGAGATGCTTATAATATTATATAATGCTTATTATCCCCACTGTGATATAATTGTTAGGATCCAATGTGATGCTTATTAATTAGATGGAATGCTTGTACATAGGATACTATACATACATATACTTTCCATTTCTATGTGTTTGCTCATAAAACACCTCACTTAAAGACAATGGAATGCAATGCTTATTACTATGATATAAAGCTTATCAAGGAATGTGATGCTTATCACATGCTTATTTATTTTGCACCTATTTATCAACATTATTGAATGCTAGAAAATACAGTAAAACATTTTCAAGTAGAACAAGTCAAAGCAGTCCAACTGATCCTAACTATACATGAAGTTAGCTGAATATTTTTTCAGGCATGAAATATTTTTTCAGGTCCATGTTGCACAAAAATGAAGTACTATACATCAAAGCTGTGATTAACATACTATTATAGCAATTCCAGATCAAAGTGAAAACTGATAACATTGCCATAGCAAAGGTACCAAAGTCAGATAGTCTTGTATTCATACATTTTGAACCCCCTCCCCTGACACACGCAACCTACTCCTCTGATGGGGTAGCACAAAGGGTAAGGGGGTTAGTAGAATGCTTTTTTCTAGATCCAAATGCAAGACTTGATTTTAGATATTTAGCTGAAATGTACATGATTTTGATAGACATGCTGTATACTAATTACAGCACATGATTGATGATGCTCGTTATATAATAATTAAACTTTGTTAATTAGAGGGTGACTGAACTGGAACTTCTAGCATAGATGATCCAATAAGCATGGATACACACACAACTATTTTTACAAATCATTTTACATAAGAACCAATATATAAATGAGATTCAAATTAATGTTGTTCCTTAATTTGATGTTGCCCTTTGATTTTGATTTTTAGAATAAATCCTAGACTTGCTTCAAGATTGTGGACCCGACTACTATCTAAAAAACACAGGTGTTAAGAGAAGATAGACCAGGGTCTTGGAGCAAGACTAGAAAATTCTTATAATTCTTCAGTTTACCATAAAACAGCCTCGGGGATATTCAAAGTCAGCAACCACTAACTTTATCCTTAGAATTTATCACAATCTATTTAAATAAAAATAAAATACACATTGTATATAAGAACTGTTATCTTTTCAGACATATTCAAAGGACTACTTAATGGTTATTGTAAAATTGTGTCAAATGTAAATAGAAAATATGATATTTGCTCTGTATATTATAATAGTAACATTTGTTCAAGTTGAACACAATTTTGAAATAAAATATATTTACCATCTTCTTGTGAGTTTAAACCTTGATGGAATTCTTTAAATTTATCAAGAAATATCTAAATTATTAAAAAGTAGCATTTGGGTCATTCAAAAGTTGAACATTTTGCTGGATTCTTGAATAGTACACAATTGTCCAAATATCATAAATTGTATAATGATTTTATGAAATTATTTTAATATACAATATCATATTAAAGGATGTGCCTACTTTACAAGGGTTTATAAGCTATTTTCTTTTCACATTTGATGATGCTTTAGAGGTAACTTATTCCTTTTAGCAAAACATGAAACACATGCTATGACGACAGTAATATTAAGTAAATATAGCATGAAAGGACAACTAAAATGGGTCAGAAGCCATCAGTGAAAAGCAAAAAAGAAAACATTGACAAAATATGCATTCAAGGACATAAGGAGAGACAAGGCCATATGGTGAAGGAGGCCAAAATGTCATAGACTGAAGACACCAAAAAATGAAAATTGCAATAATTTTTTTTATCAGGATTATTTTCTAAATTATTATGACCATAATGTTTTCAAGAAACAGACCCCTGTTGAATTTCATAAGTTACTTTTTATTTTTGAAGGGTTTTGTGCTAGTTCTTACAATTATTATATGATAGAGCTTATAATGTTTGGCCCACCCCAAAGGGTTCCAATCAATAACTACACAAAAAGGTGGTCAGTTTAATGTGCATTTTATCTTCATAAAATGCCCGCCTACTCTAAGGGATTTTCTCAAAGCGCTCACATTCAGGAAATTCAATATGGGATCAGCCTGCTAGTTTATTGGATGACTCATTCCAGAGACTAGGAAGCATAAACAAAACACAAGACAATAAAAAATGTTTACACCAAGGTGTACTTCCATAAAGACCCCCTACACAGTTTCAGGTCAATTTGATTTTTTAAAGAAAGAGTCATAAACTAAACCAGTAATGGCTGATCTGGGTTACAACAGCTCTGTCATACAAAATTAATTTTTGCCTTCCTCTTCAGCTGAAGTATATGTACACTTGTCATTATGTACTCTTTAATTGTACATATACATTGTACTTGTGCATTACAATATACTTGCATATGTATACTATGTGCATTATAATAAACTTGCATATGTATGTACATATACTTGTACATATAAAATTAATATTAATTATATAAGCAATTTAATACAAATCAATTTTGAAATGTCTTAATATCACATTTTGCTCATTTAATAAAGCAAATAGATTCCTATGTGTAATCCATTTATAAATACTGAGGAGATTTTGGCTATGATTCGATATAAAATGTCACTCTAATGGATTCATATGAATTATGAATTCATAACTGAAAACTTTCATTTGAAATATTGTCATTTAAAAATGAAAAGCTTCTTAGCTTAAAAATATGATTTTTGCATAAAATTAGATAACATTTGTCTGACCTTAAGAAAAGTATACAGTTTATGATTTAAAACCAAAGATTGTTGCCTAATAAAGCCTGTTACTTATCTATATAGTGGCTTATGATATATAAAAACAAAGTTATAAAAATGACATGAATTTTAAACATTACAGATATGCATCATAAACATAAATTCTGATCAAAAGAATTATGTGAAATAAAGCATCATAAACGTGCATGTACATCTAGATTAGATCACCTTTATTTGAACAAAAATAATTTGCAGATATGTAATAATTATTTCAAACTCTGCATGTCAAATTTGTAAAATGTGTGATTTGCCCTGGGGGTTAATATTAAGAAAGGTGTATATCCTAATTTTGGGGCCTGAAAAGCTAAAAGTTTTCTTAACAAAGGGAGATACACAATTATACAAAAGATATAACCAGAATATGATCAATGGCCAATATATTACATTTTGAACATTAATAATCTAGCTTAAAATCTTGACATATTTTGAGATTTTGGTAAGAATGTTTCTGGGATATGTAAGAGATGAACCACTCAACCTTATGATGTTTATAATAAAACATCATCTAAAGTTAGGCAAAAATTGAGAAATTAGGAAAATTGAACCGAAGAACAGCTGGAAAACCCATTAATGTATAAGGAGGAAAAATCTCATAATATCCCTTCAAATCCATAAATCTGTGAATCAGATACAAAAATAGAACCAACCATAAAATCAGATTAGCTTCAACATTTTGAACATTTTTGGAATTGAATATTTTTGATTAAAATATGGATTTGATAAATATTATAATTTGATGAAAAATACAATAAAGATGAATATAACATGAGAAATCAAAGGTTCTCAAGGGACTTACATACTTACATTTTAATATTGACGTTCAGAGAGAATTATGATATTAGGCGGGATTTCAGCATTCACAACCTAAGAGTTGTAAATTTAACGTTTCTTACATGTCACATCAAAAGAATTAGTTTACGTCTCTCTTTTTCATGCAAATAACATATCTCATATTTTCAAATAGAGCTCTGATATTTTTATGACACTCAAGTAGCGAAAATCTATGAGAGAATCCACCAATTATCGATTTTGTATCCTAATTTTTTTTAATTAGCCATACCTTATAAATCCTCATTCAGGGTCATATAGGAATTATTGAAAGAAAAATTTATTATAAAACTAAAATTAGAATTTTTGATAGGCCAAAAAATGTTTGAGACTAGGGAAATTAATGAAATTCTGGACATAGTTATCTTTTCATAAATGAAAGTTGACTTATTGAACAATACGATGTTTCACCTTATTATGGTTTTATAGGCTGGGAACATAAATTATTTTATCTATTGAAGAGACTTGGAGAGATCTCAATATGTGCACTAACTACTGTTGGGCATTCATTCAAATATATTTGAGTGTACATTTAATAAATTGTTATAAACTGCACACAGAACATGCAGAACAAAATATGAATTTTTGAATAACATTTCATCTTAGTAAACATATTTATACATTTCAAAAATAATTTGGAATAAATGAAATTATTAATATGAAATTAATAATTATGATTAATAAAAGTTTATATTTTGACAACTGACAAGATGCAATCATATACAAGACTATTATATAAATTATATGCAATTAATATATCATAAAGTAAGTTTTGATTTCTTGATGTATAAATTATAAGACAAAACTAATTATTTCTACATGTACTGCTACAACTTTCCAGATTGTTATAACTCCATACAGTTTAATTGAACTAACAAGAATAATTTGTGTACTTGAAAACATAACCTTTGAAGTCATCTTGCTTTATATAGAAGTGCAATAAGCATTCTTTGGGAATTAGCTCAAGTGGTTACATTCACAGGTTCAATTCAATACTGCATCTTTTCCATGATAATCATTCGCTACTGAAATAATCCTGTGCAAATATCGCGCCGAAAAACTCCTCGTAACTTCACTTCTGTAGTATGACACAAGTTTATAATTCGCATATAGAAAGTTAATATCCTACCTTTTTCAGCTTTCAAAGGTACTCCGTCTTCGTCCTCTTGAAAATGTCGAGGTTTCGCTTGCTTCCTCCTGGACATTTTGCGCTGCAATCCACTCACGGATTCTATTGAAAGTGTTTTCAATGCAATAAACAAGACCCGCTGTGCGCATGCGTCAATTATAACATTCAAAGATTTTGATTGGTCAATAGATAACAGAGTTATACATTATTAGCTGGATATGCCTTTGATGTGATTTGTTTGCAAACTTTGATTCTAACGCTGGAGAATGAATGCAGCGAAGATGCGGGGATGAAGTTGGATTCTTGATTTATCTTCTGACTTCAAAAAATATCAATAAAACATACGTTATAGATCGTTCAAGAAACCAGACAAAGGTTTATTATGACATTGAATTCTTACACAAATATTATTTACAGTATTATTGTAAATACAAATATTATTTATTATGGATTATTAAATATCATAAAAAGATAAATCAAAAAATACCGTTTATCAACCTTGTTAGAAAAACACTTGGGGATTATTTATGAACTATAAAAATGTTATTTTATGTCATTCGTTCTTTGGAAGCAGCAAGTCTACTGAAATAATAATATTTACTCCATTAAGAATTAAATTATTACATTTCCGATTACTCCCAAGAAAATCTGATTACATCCCTACACATAGCATATCATAATTATAAATATTTATTTCACAACTTCAACATATTAATTAATACATTTTAACGTTTAATACTTTATAAATAACATGTCAACTTTAATTAAACATAATAAACATTGTGTATATTGGTTTCATTTAGTTTAGTTCTCTACTACATGTTTATAGTGAGTAAATCAGGTTTTTAATTACGATGTCAAGATTTTTTGTTGAAATCAGAAGTAGAAATTCACCATACCTTTAATTCTAATGAATATAATGCCATAATTAGGCGTCATTGGTAATTTGGAATGCTCACCTTTTCTAGCATACATAATCAACTCACATTTTTAAATATACATATATTGTTATTAATTGATATTATTACACGGACAGTTTATCACTCTATTGCTAAGTATCAGAATAGTTTGCAACATGCCGAAGAATCTCCAATCATTTATTTCTTTAAAAGATTTGATTACACATTCACCTTTACTATACTTATATATGCAGTTTAAGGAATATACGTGCACTTTTAAGGAATATTATGTATGCACTTGTAGATGTCTTGATTTGATTTATTAATCTGTTTCTGAATATCTCACGATGATATAAAGAAACTTATTATCAATGACGTCATTTGATTTGAGGCCTCTTAAAGTGTCACAAAATGAAGTTGATTTATTGGTCAAAAGATGGCAGTTAAGTCTAGTTTGTCAATTCGTGTTTTAATAGCGTCTCAACAACCATCCACTTGTCACAACTTGACATTAGCTATATCACATAAATTTGTGATTATCGAGGGGGACTTGAAAGCAGTGCATACCCACCAAATAACAGAATTCTATAGAAACCCCTGCAAAAATTCTACAATAGAAAGTAAAAGGAAAGACTAAGGTTGATTATCATAACTAATTTCAATATTTTCAAAGTTAATTAATTGACTTTTTCCCACAGGTCCAACCTCCTTGTAATTTCAATTTCTCAAAGTCACATTAATGTATTGAAATGTTTCTATATTGTAAATATTGAACATTTGAAACAACGCTAGCAGGTGTCGAATTGTCAATAAAGATTTCTATAATGTTTAGTTACATTAAGTTTAATTATAACTGTGTGTGAATTGCTTAACATAAGGAGCAATGCCTTATTAAAATATTACATTAACACTAGGATTAAGACAATCGGACATTTCATTTGCATAAAATGTACACAAATCTTCTATGTACTGTCAACACAATCAGAAAATATGTGAACCAAAAATAGGGACTCTAGGCCATTTCTGTAAATGCATGCTATATGGATCTTGATCCATCAATTATGCTATATGCGTAAATCATGTGTATTTTTCACGTGCGTCTGCTTATTTGACGGAGGGGGTATTGTATATGTTATATTGTATTATATTGTATATGCTAACATTAAAAAATGGAAATATATATTTTGGGCATTGTTTATTAATTGGGTCGGTTCATCGTTTTAGCGTTAATCTGGGGAAATCTGATTGTTCTGCTGAATGCTCCTACGTTTTTCGTCCACAGAAATGTGTTCAAAGAGAGATATGGATGGAGAAGGGGTCTATCTTTGTCCCCTTTTATTATGTCACCACCAGAAGTGGTGACATATTGTTATAGTATTCATCTTTTTAGTGGACGGTGTTCGGCAGTTGGGATCAGTGGTCGATGTTCTGCTGTTGGTGTTTGGCGGTCGACGTTCGCCGGATGGTGTTCGGCGTCTGTAACAAATGGCAGATAGTGACATTTTGCATATTAATGTCTTGTCTTACAATTGTAGATGTCATGGGTAGTATCAAGCCCTCAATTTCGGGGATGGGGGTCCAGAAATTAATACAAGTCTAAATGCAATGCCCAATGTTTACTCGAGTCTCTAGCCAATACCAATACGATACAGTGGCCTTAGAAGAAGGTAGCCCAATGTAATGAATATTAATTGAGATCTCACCTGATATAAAAAGTCACTGAAGCGCAATGAGACCTACTACCCTTTAAATAGGTTGATTTCATTCTTTAAAAAGAGCGCTTTCTCTACACTTTTCGATTATCGTACAATCCTATAATATTGCCACACCCAACACTGGCGGATATGGGGGGGGGGCCCAGGGGCCCGGGCCCCCCCCCCTTGGGTGGGCCCAGAAAAAAAAAATTGTGCCCAAAAAAAATGTTGAGGCAAAATTGGCTTTAAGGCCCCAAAAAGTAGGCCTTTTTGGTCATAAATTGGCCTTGTAAGGCCTTATTTGTTAATTTTAGGCCAAATTTTGAAGAAAATGGGCCTCAAAATTTCAAAATTTGGGCCCACTTTTGGGTTTTTGGGGCCCAAAATTTTTTTTCGCGCAAGCGCGGAAATTTTTTTTCTCAGACCACAAGTTTGGGCCCCCCCCCTTGTTGGTTCCCAGATCCGCCCCTGCCCAACGTGGACAAGTCAATCAAATTCAACTATCCAATCAGAAGTGCAGTTCTGGAATTTTTCACTGTCATAAGTAGCTGGCATTTTTCTCATTCAAATTCTCATGAATTTCAATGACAGCTACATTTAGGGTCATTAAGATCTGATCGGCTTCAAAACTTTATTTATTTTCCTATTCAGGCGGTTATTACCATTAACCTCTCTGCATCAGGGATGAGACCCACATATACATATTCTAAAGAAAATGTGATATTTTGTCAAGGATATTGCAATTTTTCTGACTTACTACAAAGAATGTAATTTGGGTATGGAAAGAGAAGATTAAAGTTTCTATAGAAGTTCTGTCCCCAGAGTCTTTGAGAAGTTGCTTCAAATCAATCACAATTTTCAATAGATACATCATTTAGTTCAGTCTATTCTAGTGACTTATCTTAAAAAAACTATTCCGGGAGGTCATATTCAGAGGCATAATGCGTAGATCTATACACCTAAATAATACATTAATTGTAGCACGATCATTAGGTGCAATCATAGGGCACGTACAATTACTCGGCACAATCACTCAACACAATAATTGGGCAAAATTTTTAGCACAATCACTGGGCACAATCACTAGACTGAATCACTCATCACAATCATTGGGCAAAATTACTAGACACAATCATTGGGCACAATTACAGACACAATCACTCAGCACAATCACTCAATACAATCATTGGGCACAATCACTGAGCACAAATACAGACACAATTACTCAACAGAAGCACTGGACACTAGCACTTGACATAATCACTGGGCCATTTGTTACACTCAACACAATCATAGTTACAATCATTTGGCACAGTCACTCGACACAATCACTGGGCACAATCACTCAGCACAATCTCTGGGCACAATCACTCAACACAATCATTGGGTACTATCACTAGATGCAATAAATGGGTACAATCACTCAGCACAATCATTCGACACAATCACTGGGTACAATCACTCAGGACAATCATTCGACACAATCAATGGGTACAATCACTAGACACAATCACTTGGCACTCACTAGCCTATAATGCTAAACAGCGACTGATGGCTTATCCAGAATTGTTGTAATTTCATGTACATGTATTATGAATAAATATAACATGAAATGAAAAAAATAACTGCTAACAAAGCATCACGAAAAAGAAGACTATTTTGATATGGTGAAACTACGTAATGTAAGCTAACAATCGTGTTGCATGTCTCTCCTGATAAACAACTTGCCATTTACAATTTCATTTGCTTCATTGATGGAAGTTTGATTTCAGTTAGAGATTTTTTACTTGTTATTGTCTGGAGTGAAAATTCATATGGCAATATCTATGATGTAAAGAATAGTATATATAGAGATTATCCTATATGAGGTTCAGGATATTGGGAATATCCAGAGGCCAATATAATGTATCTGCCCACTCAGAGTGGGACGTAAAGCTATATCTGCCCGCTGATGAAAATATAAGTTTTTCCAAACCTGGTTTATGTACCTGAAACACGTCCAAGTATGGGATAAATATATGTATTCTATGAAAGAATGGAGGACATATTCAGACAATAAAATGTAACATTTCAAAGTATCATATACCCTTTTAAAGACTGACCATAACATATTGGTGAAGATTATAACTGAGACATGGGGGAAAACCTAGAAACAATGGGGGAGGACATTCGAAAATTTGAACAGATTTATTTGTCCACCAGAGACAAATGGCTACAAAGCTAGGACAATGTTACAATTTTTTTGTTCAAATCTTAAGAGTCTCAAATGAAACTTTCAAGGCATTGGAGGCATATGGAGGTAAGTATTTTAAAATGAATATTAAATTGTTGTATGTATAAAATGCAAGGTAAAGATTTTTGACTGCACACTCAAGTTGGACAACCTGATTTTACAACATCTGATTATTAGAGCAATCCATAATAGTTCAAGGCAAAGCAATACATAATGAATGAACACCACAGGATGACAACATCATATAAAGAACACTACACAGGAGTAAATGC